GCATGGAGTAAGCACTCAGTTTGTTCTGGTGTTGCTGTCTATCAGCAGCAGCAGCATCATCATTATATAGCTACATACATATACGATATGTAAATATATACACTACACATGTAATGGTATAGTATATAACTATCTGCTTGTAACAGGATGTCTGTTGAAAAATAAAAGTCTTTTTCTTTCTCTGCTCTAACAGAGGTGCCAGAAAGCACAAAATCATGGTAGATCATCCTCAAGGCTTTGTAGTCGGTCAGCTGCCTGGCCCAGATGAGGTGGAGTGGCTAAAGGACCCTCTGTAGACGGTCGCATCAGCCACCTCTCATGCACCAGCTCAGATCCTCTCAGCCTCAACTGTCTCTCCTCCAGTTCCCACTGCAGTGCTCAGCTCTGGATGGACTCTGATTAGTTTTATGCAGGTGAGCCCTCCAGCGATTTGTCTCACACTCATGCCATGTGCCTCCTGCCTCCTGCCTCCTGCTGCAGGGACATAGTCCTCCTATGTCCACCCACGTGCGACCCAGAAGCACAGAGTGAACCCGTGGGGAATGGCATCCAACAGACATATGCTTCCCTTCTTCTCCCAGAAGGACTGGTCATTTCACAGGGACCAAACAACCCATCACTGATAGTACAGACCGAGTTATATTGGTTCTCCCTCTTTTTCTTTTCCAGGCCCCCCGCCCCTTGCTCCTCCTCCACGGCACCACACTCCCAAGTAAGTCCTCACACACAAGCCTTTGCCACAGGCTCTGTTTTCCATGGGATCTGGACTAAGATAAAAATTATAGTGGTCACCGAGTGCAGGTATATGCAATTAGCCCTACTGTTCACCAAGGAAGGTGACACAATGAGGGCCTTCATTCTTGGTTCCCAAAATGGAAAATGACTTGACCCCTCATGGTATAGATCTGAAAAGGGGGAAAGGAGACAGTAGTTCCTGGTGCTCAAGGTGGGACAGAAGGATAAATCCTGACCCAGGACTCCTGGGCAAGGACTGTATCAAGAATGGAAAGACACCTCTGCACTTGACTGAGCTCAGCCAAGGTCCCCAGGGTTGTGGCTTTCAGTATTCAGCTCTTTCTTGTGGTGACTGAAAGGAAAATTACCTGACCCTCATGCTGTGTATCTCCAAAAAGAAAGGGAGGGAGCAGTTCCTGGTGCAGCATCTCTGATGGCCATGAGGACTGTGCTCCATGGCAGTCCGATGCTCTTGCAATAAGCCAACACAACAGCAGAAGGCTTGGAATCTTGAGTCTTCAGCCAGGGAGCCAGACTGGCATGCCCCATGCTCCCTTCAACATAGATACACACACCCCTCATAGACTGCTATGCTGTCTAATCAGGTAGCCACTAGCCACATGTGGCTATTTAAATATACAATTAAATTAATTAAATTAAAATAAAACAAAACAAAACACTCAGCTCTCAGTCGCATTAACCACACTTCAATGTTCAATAGCCACATGTGGCCAGTGGCTATTGTACTGGAGAGTACAGAAGAGACCACCGGCCATCATGGCAGAAAGTTGTACTGGAGGTGCTGGTCTAGAGTCAAGACTCTCTGGGTTTTAGCCAGTTAGCCAGGAGACAAGTACTGGACTTGACACTCATCTATCGGGGGGATGCAGGACTGCTTTTATTTATGTGGTAAAATAAAAGAAACATGAGAGTATTTGTTCTCTGAGTTGATAATAAAGCAATTATATGTGGTTACATTAACAGCAATGGATATTTGGATACTGGGAGGACAGAAGACCCCAATCTTTATAAAAAAAAAAAAAAAGACCCTACTTTTAAAAACCAAGCAAAAATGTGTACATGTATGTGTATCCCATATGCTTAGGTACAAAACACCCAAAAAGCATGTGGTTAGAAAAACTATCTAGAATATAACATTAATATTCCCCAAATCTACAAAAATAATGGAGAAGTTATTAAAAGTTTATTAATATTTAATATCTAAATTTTAGTTCCTATGTGTATCAGTTATCTAAATCAACATGGGCTCCACTCACAGCTAAGGGTAAGAAACTATGTTGGGGCAGAAACCAAAAAAATCATGTTAACTTCTTCATCATCACCTGGAAGGCATTGACCTTTGGAACTTAAAATCCTCACTGTGAACACCAGAATATCATGTCATTTGCCTGCCATAGGCATTTCCCTACCCAACCTCTCAAATGTTGGTATTCCACCAGTCCTGAGCCTTCTCCTCTCATCTCTTATCACTTCCCCGAAGTGACTGTACCAGCAACTAGGGCTTCACTAACCAAGTTGATAACTCCCAATAATAATAAGGGCTACCATTTGTTGAGCACTTATTATGTGTGAAGCCATGTGCCATATAAGCATTAACCCAGTTAACAGTCACAACAACCATCCCTGCAAGGAAGGAACAGCCCACGTCTTCTCCTAAAAACCACCTGGATGCCCAGATCACAGGTACCTTAAACTCCACATGTTCAGACTTAACTTACCTTCACAACAAATCCACCTCTGCACCTCTATACCTTCATATACAATATCACAAGCCAGAAACCTATAAATTACCCTGGACTCCTCCCACTCAGTTTTTCTCCACTTCTTTTTTTTTTTTTTAATTTTTTTTTCAACGTTTTTATTTATTTTTGGGACAGAGAGAGACAGAGCATGAACGGGGGAGGGGCAGAGAGAGAGGGAGACACAGAATCGGAAACAGGCTCCAGGCTCTGAGCCATCAGCCCAGAGCCTGACGCGGGGCTCGAACTCCCGGACCGCGAGATCGTGACCTGGCTGAAGTCGGACGCTTAACCGACTGGGCCACCCAGGCGCCCCTCTCCACTTCTAATCAAGTTCCAAGATCTATTATTTTACTTCCTAAATATCCCTTATTCCACTCTGACTGGCAGCACCCTAGAGAAGGCTCCTATTGTTTCTGTCCTAGAGCCCTGCATCAGCTGTCCGACTCATCTCCCTGCATTTGGTTTGTTTTTCTGTAATTCTAGTTACTCTACTGACTTAACATTATGACTCTGGGCATCTGAAATATGAGGATAATAATGAGGTCTCTCATCCTTATAGGTTTGTTTGAGTTAAGTAAGATATACAGTTTTCTAAGTGACTTGATAAAAAGCTCCACAGCTGACATATGAATTGAGACTATTTGGTGCTAGAGGCTACATGCTTAACCACTACCACATATGCCCAGGTAAGCCCACGATTATCAGAAAAGTCATGATGAAAAGAGACATAAGAAAGGATAATTTGCGGTGAAAAGCTTTTGAGAATGGCAATATAAGTGTACATGAATTATTCCAAAACTTAGCAACTTAAAACAACAAAAGCTTATTATCTTGTGGTTTCTGTAGCACTGCTTAGCTAGGTGCCTCTGGCTTAAGACCTTTCATGAGGTTGCAGTCCAACTGTCAACTGGAGATGCCGTCCCACCAGTAAGCTTGACTGGGGCTGAGGAGCTTCTAAGCTTACTCATGTCGTTCTTGGAAGCCTTTGCCCCTTGCCACAGGGACCTTTACACAGGGCTGCCTCACAACACGGCAGCTGATTTCCCTTAGGGCAAGTGATCCAAGAGACAATGAGAGAGGGCCTCCAAGATGGAAGCCCGGATCTTTTAATAAACTCATCTCAGAAGTAACATCACACCACTTCTGTCATTCATTGGGAGTGAGTCATTAAATTTAGCCCACACTCAAGGAGAGGGGTTTACACAAGGGCAGAGACCACTGAGAGCCATCCCAGAGGCTGCTGACTATTATCCCCCAAGCAGACATCATAGCCCTGGAGGGAGGAGGTGTGCTGAAAATAAATAAGGCCTTATCAGCATCTCCCTTAGCCTTCTCTGCTTTCCAGAGTTGAACTGACCATGAACTTCATGTCCTGCTACTTTTTATCAGTAGATACACTCTTGTCTCTCTCTCTCCTCCTCACTGCCACCTTGCCATCATGGGGGTTAGATGGAGATCCCACAGATTGCTGGGAACTGTTACATATCAGACTTTTCATATTAATACTAAAATAGACCAGCATTACAGTAGCTAATGGCCTCATTGTTAAGCATAAATCTAAATCAGAAAATATAACAATTAAAATGTAAACAATATCACAAAGTTCTAAGAATTAAAGCAACTCAAGTTACTTTTAAAAGAAACCAAAGCTCTACTGGATTTTTTTAAGTATTATACAATAGTAAAAATAATTATTTCATGATGTAGTATCTATATTTCTGAGAAGTGTTTTTATTATAATTTAATCTACTGTTACTAGCAAGAAAGAATGAGTATTCTGGGTTTAACCATGTTCCCCCAAAAAGATAAGTTGAAATTCCACCCCCCCACCCAGTATCTCAGAATGTAAGCTTATTTGGAGATACTGTCTTTACAGAGGTAATCAAGTTAAAATGTGGGCATTAGGTTGGACTATAATTCACTATGGCTGGAATTGTCAAAACAAGGGGAAATTTGGACACAGAAACAGATATGATAGAGGAAAGACAATGTAAAAAAGACACAGGGAGAAGACAGCCATCTATAAGCCAAGGAAAGGGGCCTGGGGCAGAGCCCTCTGTGGCAAGCCTCAGCAGGAACTGACTCAGCAGAGCCAGCACCTTGATTTTGGACTTCCAGCCTCCAGAACCATGAGACAATGCATTTCTGTTGCTTAAGACACCTAGTCTGTGGTAGTCTGTGGTACTTTGTTACAGCATCCTGAACAAATAATTATAGACAGAAGAAAGAAAAAATGAGATCCAGCAAGAGATAGAGGCAGAGAGAGACAGAGAGAAAAGAAGATACATGTTCATCTGGATGAGTTGATTTTATGAGAAATGAACAAGGGCCTACTCCTAAAATATGATGTAGCATATTTATAGAGCAGAAGATGACAGACATTTCCAAAAACTATGTACATAGAACAGTGCCAGGTGAAAACAACCAGACTCTCCCTCTACAGGTGGGGTCTGACTTGGTGGGGGCCAACAGTGGGCATCTGGGAGCAAGAGGAGACCCTACCTTCTGGTAGTCTTCTTTAGATCTCAGGGCCACCTCCAGGTGCTTGGTAGAGGTTGGATATATGGCTGAGCGGTATTGAGAACCATGGTCATTGCCTTGGCGCATGCCTGGGAAAGTGGAGATCAGAAAGGATTACTGGAGTAGACTGAGCAACAAGGCCAGTGTCACAAGTTTTCTATGATTCATGTACTAAGTGCTTGTTTTGTTTTTTTTTTTTTAATGAAGTATG